TGCAGCATGGTAGGACCAAACACATCAAGATTAAATATCATGTTATTAGAAATTATGTTCGGGACAAAGAAATTGTTTTGCAACATTGTGATTCTGAAGTTCAAGTTGCAGATATTCTGACGAAGGCTCTTCCAAGGCAGAAATTTGAAGAGTTCAGAGATATGCTTGGAGTTACAAATATAAAAAGCGAGGAGGAGTGTTGAAAATATCAGTTAACAACAGTTATGCTTTTTTAATTTATAACTGTTTCTTTAGTTTTTTTTGCAGTTAAGCTCTAGTTTCTGGTAGTTTTTTTTCTTTTGCAAAACTGATATGTACATGCTGTATGTATTTTTCAGCAACTCTTATATCTCATTTAATTGGAAATTAAAAAGAGAGCTCCATATCAGAGAAGCTCTTGTTCTGCAATATTTTGGTTCTGCATTTTTTGTATTCTTTTTACTTAATTGCAGAAACTTACAGTTATTTACTTGGAAGTATATCTTTGTAAAATTTGTATTAAAATCATTGTAAAATGAATATTTCTAATCATAAAAACTTTATTTACTTTTCCTATAATACATCATTTTTTTAAGGAAAAAAGGTTTAGTACTGGATATTGAAATTCTCATCCCCTTTGTTCCATTGTCTGCCATAGTTTTTATATACCATTGCTTCTGCGCTTGCATAGTTGGCTACAGGTTTTAGTAGGTAGTGGATATTGAAAATCTCGTCTCCTTTATTTCATTGTCTGCCATTTATATCCCACTGCTAGTATGTTGCATACTTGCATTCAGCTCTATGAATTACAGTGATACTTCATAATGATGCTAATACAAAAGTAGAGGGAGAAAAAAGAGTTTTTGATAATATAGATCCCAATACTAGGTGGTTCCACAAAATTTTTTAAAAAAATTGTAAATTTCCATTGTTTTACTTTACCCACCTGTTGTTGTCATCAGGGGTAAGTGAACTCCATTTTTTACTTGCAGGTCCTTTTCCTGAAGCAAGTGGCTTGGATGTGCTCTAGAGAGTTCAAAGGGTACTTTAGTTAAGGCAGGCTATACCTGGTCAGTTCTGTTGGAAGTGACTCAAACACCAATTGTTGTTGTCACCCACTTATTAAAATATAATGGTTTGTTTTTGTGTGCAACTAGCATTAACTGCCTGTAGAATGTTGTAATTAAGAAAACAGAAAATCAATATCTAGAGGATACATGCAATATATGATTTCTGCTAGCAAAGAAGTTCAAATCTCCCCCTCCAATGTCAAATAAATAAATGAATCCTGGATGGTTAATAGAGATTGTTAGAGACAGACACGTTGAAGAGTTATTGTTTTGACATTTTGTTCCAAGTCCTTTTTCACCGACATACTAAAATATTTCAGTTTGCTTCTGTCTGCAACTAGCTTTTCGTGTAAAATGTAAATATTGCATGGACCAAGTTGTTGCACTTTGCTGTCAATTTTCAGAAAAATTCAGGAAAAGACGAACTAGATTTACGTGTCCAATTCCAATACCATTCATAAGTTCTAATAACTCTTGATGTTTTAGTCCAATACCTTATACCACCAAAAGAACATCACCTAATTCATTATCAATCCCTTTGAAAACCAGATTGGCATGGCTTCCCAATCCCTTCAGCCTCACTTTCTTCTCATACCCCTTATGTGCCCTGGTCACCTGATTCCTATGGTAGACATGGGCAGGTTACTGGCAAGAAATGGTGTGAGAATCACCATTGTCACCACCCCTCTTAATGCCTACAAATTCAAGAGGATAATCGACCGTGATGCTGAATCTGGGATCCCAATCCAAGTTCTCCAACTCCGATTTCCATGCGCTGAGGCTGGCTTGCCAGGGGGTTGTGAGAATATAGAAGATCTCCCACGGCAGTTGTCCAGGAATTTCCTGCATGCAGCTAGCATGTTGCAACAACCAATAGAACAGTTCATGGAAGAGACACAGCCAAGACCAAGTTGTATTATTTCAGATAGACATCTTCCATGGACAGCTAGTGTTGCTCAGAAGTTCAGCATTCCAAGGCTTGGTTTTGATGGGACCAGTTGTTTTGCAGCCATGTGCTCGCACTCGATAGACACTTCCAAGATTCATGAAAAGGTCTGCAATGACTCAGACCCCTTTGTTGTGCCTGGTCTGCCAAATAGGATTGAATTCACTAAAGCTCAGCTACCCCCTAACTTCAATCCAGGTTCAGTGGTTCTGAAAGAAAAGAATGAGCAAATGACAGCAGCAGAAATGACAACACTCGGTTTGGTGGTTAATTCTTTTGAAGAGTTGGAATGGGGATATGTTGAAGAATACAGAAAGAGAAAGGGACACAAGATTTGGTGTATTGGCCCTCTATCACTATGCAACAAGGCGGACCTAGACAAGGCTCAAAGAGGAAACAGAGTCACCTGTGATGAAACCCAGTATTTAAGGTGGCTTGATTCATGGCCAACAAACTCTGTAATTTATGCTTGTCTTGGAACACTCAATTGTCTTGTGGCTACACAGCTAATAGAACTTGCCTTGGGATTAGAAGCATCAAGCAGGCCATTCATTTGGGTTATAAGAGAAGGGTATGAATCAAAGGAGTTTGAGAAATGGACATCCAAGGAAGGGTTTGAGGAGAGAACCAAAGGGAGAGGCTTCTTAATCCGGGGCTGGGCACCACAAGTCTTATTACTATCTCATCCTGCAATAGGAGGATTCTTGACACATTGTGGCTGGAATTCAGTAATAGAAGGGGTGTGTGCTGGTGTTCCAATGATAACATGGCCTTTGTTGGCAGAACAGTTTTTCAATGAGAAGCATGTGGTGCAATTACTAAAAATTGGAGAGAGGATTGGAGCAGAAATTGCCATAAAGTGGGGTGATGAAGACAAATATGGGGTGATGTTGAAGAGGGAGGAGATTACAAAAGCTATAAATCTGGTAATGTGTAGAGGAAAAGAAGGAGAAAAGAGGAGAAAGAGAGCAAGGGAACTCCAGGAGATGGCAAAGAAAGCAGTAGAAGAAGGAGGATCTTCTTACCTCAATATCATCAAGCTTATCAAAGATGTGCAACAAGTTAGCAGCAAAGATACAGAGACATGAAAACTCATATCCATGTGAGACAACTCTAATTGGAAAGAAACAGCAAGGTACTTGCTTTTATCTTCTCCCTTCTAGTTAAGACTATATTTCATTTGTTAAGACTATATTTCATTTGCTAAGGAAATGGCCTTCCCCATGTCCAAGAAAATGCAGAATATATGAATTTTGCTAGAGTAGCTGTCCTTTTGCATGCCATTTCAAAATTTGTACAAAAATTGGTAGCAGCCTTAAGAGCAAGTGCTGCTTACTGTATTCTATTGCATCCGTGGTAAAAATTGAAATTTTACCCAAAAAAAAGACTACACTCCACCAAATTATGGGGACCATTGCATCAATATTAATAATTCGAAACATTGTTCAGTTTTATTTCAGTTGAGTATGAACTTTCCATCTATTTGCCTTTCTAAGATAACCAAAGTCTTCATTTGCTTCTATTAAAATACTATAATGTCTTGACATAATGTATAGAAAAAGAAGCTCACCTTTAGCTTCTAGTCAACAGCAAAACAGATGCAGTGAACTTCCTTTAGTCCTGCTGTACAAGTCAAACAAAAACACATTTATACTAACAAGCCACTTTGAAAGAGAAGCCTTTCAAAGGAAGCCTAGAAAACTAAAGTAATCAATAGAGTTGGAAATTCTGCCTCATCATAAATTTCCCAGAGCTTTCCTACTTAAGTGCAAAAACTCCATTCTCAATCAACGACAATATATAATAATAGATCCACCAGCACAATCTATTAGATATTTGAAATTCATCCCTTCATTAGCATTTTTAAGGTACCAAAGATTGACCTGCATCTTATCCAAAAATGAAGTTGAAGCAGACCAGATTCAGACAATCAACTCCACATTGAGTCACGGACACTTATGCCTTAAAAAAAGACAACATTATTATGTATGCTCTTACGTTACAAAACAATACAAAGGAAAAATGAAACTAGTCATGACAAAGAAACAGCATAAAGAAACAAAAAAGGCACTACCATATTAATCCAGACAGAATCTATTCTGCTTCTCTGTGAGGTTTGCCCCCAAGAATTCCCCAAGCAATGGCTTCACAAACCTTCGAACCCCATTTTGTACTCATACCCTTCATGACTCCAGGCCATATTATCCCCATGATTGATATAGCTAGGTTGTTGGCACAGAGAAATGTGACTGTAACCATAGCTACAACACCCAAAAATGTCACTCGATTCGATTCTATCATCAATCGTGACACCAATTCAGGGCTGCCTATCAAATTCCTACAAATTGAATTCCCTTCTTTTGAATCTGGTTTGCCCAAAGGGTGTGAAAGTGTTGATAGTTTACCCTCCATAGACATGTTAGGCAATTTGTTCACTGCAATAACAATGATCCAGCAGCCCTTTGAGAAGTCTTTGCAGGAGATGAAACCTTCTCCCAGCTGTATAGTCTCTGATAGAGCCATACCATGGATAGCTGATACTGCCTCGAAGTTTAGGATTCCGAGGATATTATTTGATGGGATGAACTGCTTCACTCTCTTGTGTAACCACACCATACACAAATCTGAGATCTATAAGCATGTATCTGAATTTGAGCCTTTTGTAGTGCCAGGCTTACCAGATCAGGTTGAATTCACAAAAGCACAGTTGCCTGGAGCATTCAATCCAGGAATCAACAACCCATTTGCACCATTTCGAAAACACTCTAGAACAGCTGAGAAAGGAGCATACGGGGTGCTAGTTAATACCTTCGAGGAACTGGAACGGAAGTATGTCAAAGGATATAGAGAGGGCACTGGTCATAAGGTCTGGTGCATTGGCCCTGTTTCATTATGCAACAGGGAGAGCTCAGATAAGGCTGAGAGAGGTAATAGAGCTGCTGCTATAGATGAAAACCAGTGCTTGAAATGGCTGGATTCACAGACACCAAGCTCTGTTGTTTACGTCTGCTTCGGAAGCATCAATCGCCTGATCCCAGGACAGTTGATTGAGCTTGGCCTAGCATTGGAAGCATCATCAACCAAGGCATTCATCTGGGTCATCAGAGGAGCCTGCAAATCAGAAGAAATAGAAAAATGGCTAATTGAATACAGATTTGAAGAAAGACTAAAAGGAAGAGGGCTCATAATAAGGGGCTGGGCACCACAAGTACTAATCCTATCACACCCTGCCATCGGAGGATTCTTAACACATTGTGGCTGGAATTCAATACTTGAAGGGATATGCGCGGGTGTTCCAATGGCGACTTGGCCAATGTTTGCAGAGCAATTTTACAATGAGAAGTTGATCGTGCAAGTTCTGGATATTGGAGTAAGGGTGGGCATACCCGTAGTTACACACCTGGGGGAAGAAGAGAAATCTGGGGTCTTGGTGAAGAAAGAAGATATCAAGAAAGCTATAGAAAAGTTAATGGATGACGGAGAAGAAGGAAAACAGAGAAGAGAAAGAGCTCGGAAGTTTGCAGCCATAGCAGAAAAAGCAGTAGAAGAAGGAGGGTCTTCTTACCTCAACATTACGCTACTAATCCAAGACATAGTTCAACAAGACAACCATAGTCAGCTGTGAACAGGGACAAGAACTTAAACCCTGTCTTCATGTAACAGAAGACCTTTGCAGACATGATAAAGAAGACACTGGAAGACGAGAATTAAAATAAATCAATAAGAAATTTGGATCATCTTAATTCAACATTTCCCTGTTAGTTGAAGATGTCATACAACAATCCTCAGGCATTCCAACTACAACATCTGAAAAATGTTAGCTGTTCAATTTGCATTTTTTTTTTTTTAGTAATTTTGTTTTGTTGTTTTCTTAATTAATAGTGTAAGGTAAGAATAAATCATTTTCATGGCAATCAATTTCCATCATCAGAGACCAATATAAAAAATCTTTTCAGAACTTCTGTACTTCAATGCAAAATATCCAACATCAAATGTTAAATGCCATAATAGATCAGAACATTGCCGCTAAGCTAGTTACGAAGGGTTATTGGAGGCTTAAAGTAATATAATAATAAAAATATTAACGATATGTTCAGAATGAGAGGAACTTGACATCTCTTAAATAAAATTTTAAGTTTGAGTGAATAGAAAAATATGTGATGGAGAGCTTTCCTCTTTATAGGGTCCGACACAGTTGGATTTTAAATTAGTTGTAATCTAATATGATTACTGAATATTAAGAGGTTAATAAAAAAAATATAATGATAAAAATTAAATATTATTTTACAAATAATATAGATTAATTAAATTTTAAAAATTAAAATTAATTAATTTTAATTATATTTAAATAATTTAAATAAATTAATTAATGAAATTAATTAAAAATAAATTAATTAATTAATTGTTACCTCTTAATTATTGTACCAAACAAGTGGGGTTTAGAATCTTTTTGTAATTTCATTAATAATAAAATTTCAGATCTGGTCCTCTGGCTTCTACATAATAGTACTTTTATTCTATAGCTTTGAATTCATTCATTTAGGTCCCTGATTATGACTTTCCTGCTTGCGGTGTAAACCCTCAGCTTTTAAAAGATTTACACTTAAGTTCAGAAACTGCTATTCTTATGCATTCAAGTCTTTTTCATTAAGAACGAAAAATATGTAAAATCAATTAAAAATCACATTCTTCCCATAATTCATCAAGGGGTTTAATTATATCTTAAGAAATCATAAATCATCATGGAGTTCAATAAAATAGCACAAACCCATGTGGTCCAAAAGCCACTCATGGAACAGAACCAACTTAGCATAAATCCGTGTGGTCCAAAAGCTATTTGTCATTGCCAGCATGCCTACGTATGCACTTACGTTACAAAGTAATACAATATTAAAAGCAAAGCAAATGAGGCACGGAGAACGAACTGTAAACAAAAAGGTAATTACCGTATTTATTTAAAGTGATCCCCATTTTTAATTTTGCACGTGATACAAGGCATGTATCACGTTATTTTATGAGTAGTGAATGAGTCACGTTACTTTATAAGTAATAGATGGGGTTCACTTACTTTTTTTAGTTCGAATCATGACTTTAGCAGATATTGATTTTTAATTTATATTTTTCTTGTTAAAAAAAGAAAAAAAAAAAGAAAAGAAAAAAAAGAGTGATCTCCATTCTACTTTCATGTAAAGTCTGCCCAAGAAGTCCCACTGCAATGGCTTCACAAACCTACGAACCCCACTTTGTGTTCATTCCCTTGATGGCTCCAGGCCATATTATCCCCATAATTGATATAGCTAGATTACAAGCACAAAGAGATGTGACAGTCACCATAGCTACAACACCCCAAAACGCTGCTAGATTTGCTTCTGTAGTCAATCGTGCCACCAGTTCAGGGCTACCTATCAGATTTCTGCAACTCGAATTTCCTTCTGAGGCTGGACTGCCCAAAGGCTGTGAAAATATCGACAGTATGCTCTCCATGGACATGTTAGGCAATTTCGTCACTGCAATAAGCATGTTGCAGCAGCCCTTTGAGAAGTCCTTGATGGAGATGAGACCACCTCCAAGCTGCATAGTCTCTGATAAATTCATATCATGGGCAGCTAGTACTGCGTCCCAGTTCACGATTCCGAGGATATTATTTGATGGGATGAGTTGCTTCACTCTGCTGTGTAATTACAACTTACACAAATCTGAGGTCTACAAGCATGTAACTGAAACGGAGCCTTTTGTGGTGCCAGGCTTGCCTCATCGAGTTGAATTCACAAGAGCACAGTTATCTGGATACTTCAGCCCAGGATCCAACAAAAGAACTCAATGCTATGCGACGCAAATAAAAAAATATTTACTAAAAAATAAAAAGAGCAAAAGTATTATATTATTTAATTAAGTTATTTGTAAAATTATAAATTAAATTAATTATATTAGTTTTAAAATTTTATAATCAAAATTGATGTGGTCATATTAGATTTTAATTAGATTGAATCAGCTTTGGTTGAATTAATCAATTTGGATCCAATATTATCCCCTCTGCCTAGTGGCAAGCATTGGATACAGATACATGTGTTACCTGCAAGTACATCATCTATTTTGGTAAATACCACACCGTAACTATAAAAAATTTAGCTAAGTAATAAATATGAAAATAGCATATCCGTAAGTATTTAGTCAACTAGTCAACTAACAAATATAACTATTTAGAATTATTTATCTAATATGTTTAATCAACTTATTTAATTGGACTATTACCTATATTTATATAATTAAAATTTTATTTTACCTTATTATAGTTAATGTCTATACAATTACAATAATTTTTAAAAGAAAAAATAAAAGTTAAATAATCCCTCTAAGCCAAACATATCTTATATGCAAAAATAGCAGCTCATATAAATAACAAATTTCAAACTAAACACATAACACATGCACAAAAAAAAAAAAAATCATATAAAGCAAATCATTTTCTTAAGTCAAACATATAAGAATATACCTATAAGTTATCCAGTACTTATTGAGTTGAGTTTCAAATATAAGTTTTCAAATATTTAGCTAAATATTAAATCTACAAAATTATATTTAAAAATTTTTAATTCAAATATTAAATACAACTCATACATAACTTTATGAGAAAATATTCTCCCTTACTTAAACCGGCAGTCTCATTAGGCCCATAGTAGTCGGCCTGCTTTAGTTGAAGTAAAAGGTAGCTGCAAGGGCCCTATATGCACAAGAATCCAAGCTTTAGGTTCTTATGACATTGAAAGGCCCAACTTCACCTTCACACAAAATGACCTCATTATAATAGAAGCAGTCTGACTATGAAATTATTTAAATTTTTTATCAAAGTATTTTAATAACTCTGATTGTACACACTCTTTTTATAGTTTGGACTTAAAAACTTATTTTGTTTAAAGAAATAAACAAAATTTTTTTAGTTTAAATTAAAAAAGTACATTTCATACCATAAATTTGCCAAATTATTCTAAATAAAAATTTTTATGTGATAATTTAATAATAATATTTTAATAATTTTAATATACTGAATATAGATTTATTATTGAATTCAACCGGCAAATTATGGAACTCAATTAACAAAACTATTACTGTATTGGTCCTTTAACTTCTTAATAATAAGTTTCAATTTAGTTCACAATTTTTTTTGGCTAATTGATTATACATTTTTTTTTTATTGGTTATATATACTTAATAGAACATGAGCCTTCCAAGTTAAAAATTTTATGTTTCAATCTTCAGATGTACATGGAAATTTTGTAAAAGGACATAGATTCAGTGAATGTTGGAACTTAAATATTTTAATAAAAAATAAAATAATATATTTTATAAATTAAATTTATTATCTCATTAAGAATTTGATTAAACTAGCCGTTGTATATTAATTATCTTATTTAATAGCACATTATTTTATAACAATTGCTCAATTTATTCTTATCATTAACTTACAAATGGGAATTACAAGATCATGAGTCCTATAAATAGGATATGTCTATTTGCTCAAAAAAAGAATTTCCTCCACATTCTTCTACTTTCTTACCGTACTCTATTTTCAAAATATTTTTGGATAGAGAAGAATGTTTTAAGTTAGATGACTCTATGGATAGTACAGATTCATAAAGTGTTATTATAAAACTGTAGCATCTTAGGGGCAATATGCTATATTTATCTCAACTATACTGGTTGATCTAATCTCCGTAGAAATAGGAATTGCCTTAAAATAAGTAAACTTTTCACACTTATTTCGATGATATTTTCTTATCGATATCTCTTAATAAGTTTATTAATTATTATTTTTATTTGATCTTGTAATCGAGACACAATAATGATATGATGTGGAGATGAAGGAGAGTGTTGGAGAAACAATAGTGAAAAGGGTTCTTCCCAATCTCCTATGATCATCTTTTTATCTTGGCCTATTCAAAGTCTAGCCTCACCCTCCTTAATGTAAAAGGAGGTAGATGCAGTGAAAATGAGGACAGAAAGCTCTTTCTCCTAATATTTACCAAGCTCTTTCACCAAATATTTACTAACACTGTGTTTAGTATAGGTGTAGTTTTTTATTTTTAATTTTGATTTTTATAAATTTTATAATTCTACATAAATTTTTGTTTTACTTTCATGTCTTTTTATATTATATTATTATGATTATTAAAGAAATAAGAACAAAAATAATTTTAATATTACTAAATAATTTATAATTTTTGTTATTAGTATTAAAACTCATCTTAAACAATTTATTAATTTTTAATTTTTAGTTTTGCTTTTGCTTTTTTTGTAGTTACAAAATTTATGAAAATAAAAACTAATCTTTTTATATATTTTTTATCAACAAATCAAATATTATAAATATAAAGTACAAGGACTACTTTAAATCTATTTACAATATTAAGTGATAAAATATAACTACTTTGCAAACAAAACTGCCCAAGAATATGTCCAGGAACTGCCGGTGCAAGCTGCAATCAATCTCAATCTTCTCAGGCATTTGCCTACCTCTCAAGAAGTTAGGTGCATTGACACCTTCAGCTTCTGTCGTTGTCTGTCCTTCTCCCGTAGTCCTTGATGCATGAATTGGTTTATGGCATAATGTGAGGTTTTCTTCTTTCTTTTTTTTTTCTTTTTTTTTATCTTTTAATTATTTATGTGTATTATAATTTAAATTTACAATTTTTTATTTTTATTGAAAGAATATTACTATTGATTTAATTAGATAATTGTCCCAAAAAGCAAAAGCCACTAACCATACTGAACAAAGGCTAATGTTCTTCTCTAAATTTGTTCCAGATTAATGATTTGTGTTTTATGGTAAAGGTTTAAAATTTAAATTTTAAAATTAATGAAAAAGGATACAAAAAGGGAGAGATTGAAAAAGAGAGAAGTTATCTTCTTATATATAATTGATTATGAGATTTTTGTCTTAAAAACAAACACTCAGGACTGAAATTTTATAATTAAAAAAAATTCAAAAACAGTACAAAATATACATTATTCACCTCTAATATTTTCAGAGTTAAAATTAATAAATTGTGCGTAACAATTTTGCCGGTAATTCCATCCTATGTCTCATTTATTGTGTGAATTCATGTTTAATTTGCTTATTTATTTTATATTTTCTATGAAAATGAATGTAATCTATAAGGTATTTCACATAAAAAATATATATATCATAATTTAGTGGTCGAGTAAAGAAACGCTTTTGGGTCAATTAACCAAAGTTCTAAATTTAAAAAACTTCCTCACTTATTAAAGAAAGTTTGAACTTGTATAATTTTCCTATTCACCTCCTCTTCTCACAAGTTGAACTACCTTATTTTATTTATTTATTTATTTGATATTTACTACTAAGATGTCTCTCTAAATCAATTTTTATGCATTTTAAAATCAATTTTTTTAAAATGATTTTAAGAGCATACCTAACAACTTACCTATTTTATTAAAAAGAAAAAGAAAGACAAATTAAAAAAAAAAAAAAGAAAAAGAAAAAACACCTTAGTGATGGAGAGGTGGAGTATTGCCAAACTCATCACAAAGCTATCTTATAAAATCCTTAAATTTTATTTGTACTATTTTACATCTCATAACTGCTTATAGAATCAAAAATAACCTTCTCATTTTAAATTTCCTCTTATTAAACTTGGAGTTGGGGCATGATTAAATTTTGATTCTACAACTAAGGTTATATATAAAATTGTTATGTAGTGTTGAGTGATTTTTTTCACAAAAATTATGTTAATATTTAATAATTATTTTTTTAAAATTGTACATCTATAATTACTAATACAAAACAATAATTTTAAGATTAATATGATTATAATGAACTAAAATTTTCAATGAGCTACCTTACAAAAAAAATAAATAATGGGAAACAAAAATCTCGAACCCAATCCAATCCCTCACAAAATGGACCACTGGTGAAGGAGTGGTCCTGGTCGAAAGTAAACAGATTTTCAAAATATTAAGGTTAAATTTCTAATTTGATCCCTTAACTATTATATGAACTCTTAAATTGGTCTATAAATTAAAAAAACTTTGATTTGGTCCCTAAAATTTTTAAATTTGACTTTAAATTGGTTCTTTTATTAAAAAAACTAATGTATCCATTACTAATATGATGCATGACCATTAAGTAATGGACACAATAGCAATTTTTTTAATAAAGAGAGCAACTTGGAGCCACATTTAGATATTTTAAGGATCAAATTAAAGATTTTTTTAATTTAAAGATCAACTTATGTATAATAGTTAAGAGATCGAATTAGAGGTTTAACCAGATATTAATTGGGACTAATCTCCCTCCTTTTGAAATTTTGCTTAGGAAAGTTTACCCCTAACAATTTCCCCCCTTAGATTTTTTAAAGATTATTTTTATATTTTTACATTTTAAAACTACAATAAAGGGGGTATAAAAATAATATTTTGAGTCTATTTTTCTTGATAAAATTCCTCATAGTTAACCTTTTCTTTTAAAAAAGAAAACCTTTCCTAACGTAGAACTCATTTAATATTTTTTTACTAATTTTTCTTATATTAATTTCTTATCAAATACAAAAATATTTATAATTTCAATAAAAATTTTAAAAAAATTTCAT